TCCCTCCGCCCGCAGCGTGTGGCCAGGCGGGGCCCCAGGACCGGATCGTGGGCGGGCAGGACGCCCCGCTGGGGGCCTGGCCCTGGCAGGTCAGTCTGCAGTATGAGAACCGCCACATCTGCGGGGCGACCCTCATCAACACGGAGTGGGTCCTAAGCGCTGCACATTGCTTTCCCAAGTGAGTGACCGGGGCTGGGCCAGGAGGGGGCTGCGGGTCGGGAGCGGGGGGCACCGGTAGAATTCGGGGGGAGCCCAGGGCTGGGCCAGGAGGGGGCTGCGGGTCGGGAGCGGGGGGCACGGCTGTTGGTCTCTGGGCGCTGACCCCTCTCTCGCCCCAGGCATGCGGAGCTGTCTCGGTACCGTGCCGTCCTGGGCTCCCGCCAGCTGTCGGTCCCAGAGCCCGGCTCCCTGCGGCTACCCCTGTCCCGCGCCCTGGGCCATGCGCTCTACTCTGGGGAGGGCTCCAGCGGAGACATCGCCCTGGCCCGGCTGGGCCGCCCCGTCACCTTCACCCCGCAGGTGCTGCCCGCCTGCCTCCCGGACGCCGGGGTCCACTTCCCCGCCGGGACCCTCTGCTGGGTTACTGGCTGGGGGTCGCCACGAGAGGGAGGTGAGGAGGGGGGGAGAGGAAGGGAGGGGGCAGGAGGAAGAATAGAGAGGGGAGAGGTGGGGGAGTGGAGGTGGGAGGGGCCATGAGGAAAGGGGGAGGAGAGGGGAACGCAGAGGAGGAGGGGCAAGGAGGGGGGAGCATTGGAGGGGGCAGGGAGGGGGGCATTGTGTCCTCCTCCTCCTCCCCCAGGGTCCACTCCCCCACCCTGGCAGTGTTAACCCTTCCTTTCCCCCCCCCTGCAGACCTGCTCCCGGCCCCCATGACACTGCAGCAGCTGCAGGTGCCCCTGATCGACCCACTGCCCTGTGACGCCCTTTATCGGCGCCGGAGCTCCATGAGGGAGATCCAGGACGACATGGTGTGTGCCGGCTATGCCGAGGGACAGAGAGACGCCTGCCAGGTGAGAGCAGGGGGTGGAGGGTCGGGAGAGAGGGGCACCGGCAGAGCTGGGGGGCGCAGGGGGCTGAGGGTCGGGAGAGAGGGGCATCGGCAGAGCTGGGGGGCAGGGGGCTGAGGGTCGGGAGAGAGGGGCGGCAGAGTGGGGGGAGGGGGGGAGGGTCGGGGAGAGGGGACGGAGAGTGGGGGGGGCAGGGGGCTGAGGGTCGGGAGAGAGGGGCACGGCAGAGTGGGGGGGGGCAGGGGTCTGAGGGTCAGGAGAGGGGGCACGGCAGAGTGGGGGGGCAGGGGGCTGGGGTCGGGAGAGGGGGATCAGCAGAGTGGGGGGAGGGGGGAGGGTCGGGAGAGAGGGGCATCGGCAGAGTGGGGGGGGCAGGGGGAGGATCGGGAGTGAGGGGACGGCAGAGCGGGGGGAGGGGGCGGAGGGTCGGGAGTGAGGGGCACCGGCAGAGCTGGGGGGTGCAGGGGGCGGAGGGTCGGGAGTGAGGGGCATCGGCAGAGCTGGGGGGCAGGGGGCGGAGGGTCGGGAGTGAGGGGCATCGGCAGAGCTGGGGGGGCAGGGGGCGGAGGGTCGGGAGTGAGGGGCACCGGCAGAGCTGGGGGGGGCAGGGGGCTGAGGGTCGGGAGAGAGGGGCACCGGCAGAGCTGGGGGGGGCAGGGGGCTGAGGGTCGGGAGAGAGGGGCATCGGCAGAGCTGGGGGGGCAGGGGGCTGAGGGTCGGGAGAGAGGGGCATCGGCAGAGCTGGGGGGCGCAGGGGGCTGAGGGTCGGGAGAGAGGGGCATCGGAGAGCTGGGGGGAGGGGGTGAGGGTCGGGAGTGAGGGGCACGCAGAGTGGGGGGTGAGGGGGCAGAGGGTCGGGAGGGGGGAGAGTGGGGGGTGAGGGGGGGAGGGTGGGAGGAGGGGCAAGAGTGGGGGGTGAGGGGGGGAGGGTCGGGGGGGGGACGGAGGGGGGGGAGGGGGGGGGGGGGAGTGGGGGGGAGAGGGGGGGGGAGGGGGGGGGGTGGGAGGGGGGCGGAGGGGGGGAGGGGGGGAGGGCAGGAGGGGGCGAGAGGGGGGGGAGGGGGGAGGATCGGGAGGAGGGGAGAGAGGGGGGGGAGGGGGGGAGGGTCGGGAGTGAGGGGAGGAGGGGGGGGAGGGGGGGGGGTGGGGAGAGGGGACGGCAGAGCTGGGGGGGAGGGGGCTGAGGGTCGGGAGAGAGGGGCATCGGCAGAGCTGGGGGGAGGGGGTGAGGGTGGGAGAGAGGGGCACGGAGAGCTGGGGGGGAGGGGGAGGATCGGGAGTGAGGGGCACCGGAGGCTGGGGGGAGGGGGCGGAGGGTGGGAGTGAGGGGCAGGCAGAGTGGGGGGTGAGGGGGGAGGGTCGGGGTGAGGGGAGCAGGCTGGGGGGAGGGGGGAGGGTGGGAGTGAGCAAGGGGGGGGGGGGGGGGGGGGAGGGGGGAGGGGGGAGGGTGGGGAGGGGGACGGCAGAGCGGGGGGGAGGGGGTGAGGGTCGGGAGAGAGGGGCACAGCTGGGGGGGGAGGGGCGAGGGTCGGGAGAGAGGGGCACGAGGCTGGGGGGAGGGGGTGAGGGTGGGAGGGGGCAGAGGGGGGGGAGGGGGGAGGGTGGGAGTGAGGGGCAAGAGGGGGGGTGAGGGGGAGAGGGTGGGGTGGGGGACAGGGGGGTGAGGGGGGAGGGTGGGGTGAGGGGACAGGGGGGGGTGAGGGGGGGAGGGTGGGGGAGGGCGGGGGGGGTGAGGGGGGGGTGGGAGGAGGGGGAGTGGGGGGGGGGGGGGGGGGGGGGGGCGTGGGGGGGGGGGGGGGGGGGGAGGGGCAGGCGGGGAGGGGGTGAGGATGGGAGGAGGAAGGGGGGGGGGGGGGGGGTGGGAGGAGGGAAGGGGGGGGGGGAGGGGGGGGAGGGGGGGGGGGAGGGGGGGGGGGAGGGGAGGGGGGTGAGGGGGGAGGGTGGGGTGAGGGGCAGAGGGGGGGGGGGGGGAGGGTCGGGAGGGGGGAGGGGGGGGGGGGGGGGGGTGGGAGAGAGGGGGAGGGGGGGGGGGGGGGGGTAGGAGTGAGGTTGAAGGGGGGGGGGGGGGAGGTGGGGGGGGGGGGGGGTGAGGGGGGGGGGTGGGAGTGAGGGGCAGAGAGCTGGGGGGTGAGGGGGGAGGGTGGGAGTGAGGGGCACGGCAGAGCTGGGGGTGCAGGGGGCGGAGGGTCGGGAGTGAGGGGCATCGGCAGAGCTGGGGGGTGCAGGGGGCGGAGGGTCGGGAGTGAGGGGCATAGGCAGAGCTGGGGGGGGCAGGGGGCGGAGGGTCGGGAGAGAGGGGCATCGGCAGAGCTGGGGGGGCAGGGGGCGGAGGGTCAGGAGTGAGGGTCATCGGCAGAGCTGGGGGGGCAGGGGGCGGAGGGTCGGGAGAGAGGGGCATCGGCAGAGCTGGGGGGTGCAGGGGGCTGAGGGTCAGGAGAGAGGGGCATCGGCAGAGCTGGGGGGGGCAGGGGGCTGAGGATCGGGAGTGAGTGGCACCGGCAGAGCTGGGGGGGGGAGCTGAGGGCTGGGCTAGCAGGAGGCTGCAGGTCCGAACTGAGAGGCCCCGGTGTCACCGATTCTCTCTCCCCAGGGCGATTCGGGGGGCCCCCTGGTCTGCCAGAAGGCTGGGCTGTGGTTCGTGGCCGGCGTCGTCAGCTGGGGCGAAGGCTGCGCCCTGCCCAACCGCCCCGGGGTCTACATCCGCGTCGGCGCCTACCTGGACTGGATCGGGCAGCACGTGCCCAACGCCACCTTCGGGGTGGTCAATATCACCACCTACAGCCTGCCCGGGGGCGGGCCCCCCGGCCCTGCCCCCACTGCCCTGCTTCTAGCCGCCTGGCTGCTCCGAATTCTCTGAGCCCCGCCCCCCAGCAGTTAAGGCCACACCCACCCGGATAGGCCACGCCCCAGGGGGAGAGTGCCACGGAACCGCTCTCCAGTGACTCCGCCCCCTTCCAGCCACGCCCACCCAGCCACGACATGTCACGCCCACCAGTGGACTGTGCCACGGAATCCCCCCTCCCTTGTGGACTCTCCCTCGTGGCCAATGGATGGGTCCTGCCTACCTCATGTCAAGTAACCCCGCCCCCTTCCGGCCATGCCCACCCAGGCACGACATGTCACGCCCACCAGTGGACTGTGCCACAGAATCCCCCCTCCCTTGTGGACTCTCCCTCGTGGCCAATGGATGGGTCCTGCCTACCTCATGTCAAGTGACCCCGCCCCCTTCCGGTCACGCCCACCCAGCCACGACATGTCACGCCCACCAGTGGACTGTGCCACGAATCCCCCCTCCCTTGTGGACCTCCTCGTGGCCAATGGATGGGTCCTGCCTACCTCATTCAATAACCCCCCCGCACCAAGGCACGACATGTCACGCCCACCAGTGGACTGTGCCATGGAATCCCCCCTCCCTTGTGGACTCTCCCTCGTGGCCAATGGATGGGTCCTGCCTACCTCATGTCAAGTAACCCCGCCCACTTCTGGCCACACCCACCCAGGCACAAGCCCTGCCCCTGCGGGGGAGAAGGACCGTGGCTTCCCCGCAACATGGGTGGGTCACAACCACCACGCTTCAGCCTGCCGGAAATATTCTCCCCCACAGGACCAAGTATGGGTCTGAGCCAGGGCAACAGGGAGGAGACGGGATAACGGGCTAGATGGGCCCATGGGTCTGATCCAGCCGGGTCCCTTGTGCACTGTTTTAATTTAAACGCGAAAGACTGGAATAATAATAAATAAATAATTTACTGTTCTTCAGTGCCTGAATGCAGATTACAAAAGTGCTTTACAAACAGGAATAAAAGAAACCTTAGAATAATTCCAGGGGGCGGGGGGAATGGGACTACTATTGTACATGGGGAAACTGAGGCACCAAGCAAGGCAAGAACAGAACTGGGGACAGAACCCAGGAGTCCTGCCTCCCAGCCCCCACTGCTCTAACCCACTAGACCCCACTGTCCTCCCAGACACAGAACCCAGGAGTCCTGGCTTTCAGATGAGCTGTAGGGCACAGGCCACAAGAAGCAGGGTGTGGGCTAGCACCATGGGCGCATGATTGAAGCTGCCGTCTTTTAATTTTTTCTCGTAGTTCCTGTTAGCCACGGAGCTGTGGGCTGTTCCATTCGTGGTGCCCTGGACGAACGCCAGGTCTGGGACGGTCTCTTGGAGCCAGCCGTGGTAACTGGTGACTCGGATGTAAACGCCGGGGCGGTTTTTCTGAGCACAGCCTTCTCCCCAGCTCACCACGCCTGCCTGGACCCAGCTCTGTCCCATTTTACACACCAGCGGACCACCGGAGTCACCCTAGCGGTCAAAGAGCCAGACAAGGGGTTACTGAGATGCAGCCACCTCTGGGGTGGGGCGTGGGGGACCCCCTTGCCCAGCACCGAGGTGCGGCCCGTCTGGGTAGGGGTGCAGGGGATGTTCACAGAGGGACCCCTCACCCAGTGCTGAGACACGGCCCCTCTGGAGTGGGGTGTGGGGGCTGGTTATGTGTGGCCACCTCGCCCGGCATTGAGATGCAGCCACTTCTGGGGTGGGATGCGGGGGCTGTTTGTATGGAAACCCCAGCACCAAGATGCAGCGGACTCTGGGGCAGGCTCTCACCTGGCAGGCATCCTTGCCCCCTTTGGTGTACCCGGCACACAGCATGTCCTCCTGGATGTTCTGCCCTTTGCCCCTGCAGTAGAGGGCGTCGCACGATGCCTGGGCGATGATGGGCACCTCCAGCTTCTGCAGCGTCTCCGGGGCTTTGCCTTTCCCTGCTGGGGGAGGGGGCAGTGGGACAGCTGAGCTGGGAGCCACACCCACTGCCCCTCCCCCTGCCCAGCGGGGTGAGGGGCCACCATAAATGGGGGGGGCATGGACGGGGGGGCACAATCCCTTCCCCCCACACTAACTTGTATCTCCTGATCCTTTCTGCCCTGCATGCTGCATTGCCTCCTCCCTTTCACATCTATCAGCCCTCCTTCTTTCTTCCTTCTTCCCTCCATCGCTCGCTTTTCGTCTCTCCGAGTCCCTTCATCTTTCTTTTTCTCTCTTTTGTTCTTATTCCAGTCATTCCTTTCTTCCTTTCTTATAACATTAATTCGTGTCTCTTTCTTTCTTACTTTTGTTCTTAGGCCATTCATCTTTCTTTCTTTCTTTCTTTCTTTCTTTCTTTCTTATTCTGTTCATTCATTACTTTCTTTCTTTCTTTCTTTCTTATTCTATTTCTTTCTTATTCCATTCACTCTTTCTTTCTTTCTTTCTTTCTTAATCATTCCTTTATTTCTTTCTTTTTCTTTCTTATTCTATTTCTTTCTTTCTTATTCCATTTATTTATTTATTTCTTATTCCATTCTTTCTTTCTTTCTTTTTCTATTCATTCATTTCTTTCTTTCTTTCTTATTCCATTTCTTTTTCTTTCTTTCTTTCTTTCTTTCTTATTCTAGTCATTCATTTCTTTCTTTCTTTCTTTCTTATTCTAGTCATTCATTTCTTCTTTCTTTCTTAATCTATTTCTTTCTTATTCTAGTCATGCATTTCTTTCTTTCTTTCTTTCTTATTCTATTCATGCATTTCTTTCTTTCTTTCTTTCTTATTCTATTCATTACTTCTTTCTTTCTTTCTTATTCTATTCATTGATTTCTTTTTTTCTTATTCATTCCTTTCTTTCTCCCCCCCCCACCCCCGCCCCACTTCCAGTACAGCCATGCCCCAGATTCTTTATGTCCTCCCTCCCCACTGTAGCTTTCTCAGGATCTGGGCCCTGTCTCCCCCATCCCCCAACCCCAGCCACACACTTCACTCACCTCCACCTTTGACATCCCCCCAGCCAGTGACCCAGCACTTGGTCTTTGGCAGGAACTGGACCTCGGCAGCGGGGAGGCAGATGGGGACGATGCGGTCAGTGAGGTTCACGGGCCTCTCTAGCTGGACCAGGGCAATATCCCCACTGGAGATTTTGCCCCCGTAGCGGGGGTTGCAGATAATCTTCCCCACGGAGACTACGACTGCATGGGGGCTGGGGTGCAGCTGCTTGTGGGTCCCAAGTAGCACTGAGAACCGGGAAGGGTCCTTGGTCCTAGAGACAGAGAACAGCAGTGAGAGGAGCCCGGGGCTGGGCTAGCAGGGGGCTGTGGGTCGGGAGTGAGGGGCACCGGCAGGGCTGGGGGGAGCCCAGGGCTGGGCTAGCAGGGGGCTGTGGGTCGGGAGTGAGGGTCACCAGCAGAGTGGGGGCTGGGCGAGCAGGTGCTGCAGGTCGGGAGCGAGGGGCACCCTGATACTCACTGTCTGAAGCAGTGGGCTGCCGTCAGCACCCACTGTGGGGAGATGAGGGACCCCCCGCAGCGGTGGGTGCCGTTGAGTCTCAGGCTGACCTGCCAGGGCCACTCCCCGTCCCGCGCCTCCGAGCCCCCCACGATTCGCTTCGTAGGGCTCTGACGCCCGCACACTGTGGAGAGAACAGGTGGGAGTTGGGATCGGCTGGGATGGGAGGGGTCGGGGGAGC